AATACTCTGCAAGCTATGCTGCACCCGCCGATGCTGAATTCCCATCGACAAGTTGTGCAGCCTCCGCCGGCAACGAATGCTCTGCCAGCTATGCTTCACCCGCCGATGCTGAATTCCCACCAACAAGTCATGCAGCCTCCGCTAGCAATGAATGCTCTGCAAGCTGCTGCACCCGCCGATGCTGAATTCCCATCAAAAGTTGTGCAGCCTCCACTAACGATATAAAATATGATTGAACGGCATATAAGTATCCACTCAATTTAACGGCCTATATGGGGCTGTACCCTGGTCGTTATTTCCGGAGCTCCGTTATTTCCGAAGTTAAGTCGGGTCGGGTAATTTTTCAAGTAACATTCAGGTAGGATATATTTTATTCTGTATAACTAAAATTAAATAAAGTTCATTGTGTAATTGCATTCCAATTTAGTGCCACACCGACGATTAAGCCAGTTGTTGGCTGCTGCATGGATGATGTGTGAACACGGTCTGATCAAGCCCAGATGGGTGGGAAAAAATTGATTCATTCCTTTGTATTGCAAAATATTTCATGTATCAATCAGCAAGTTAATATTTTCTCAATAATATTTTAGAGATGTGTTTTGATTTACCCTGAACAGTGCAGGTAATGTATTTTTAATGTTACAACACAGGCTGTGGCGGCCATGCCATAACAATGGCGATCGAGCCTTGTCACCGAGAGCTAGCCAAGACGAAATATTTTGAGCTCACCTATTCTCTGCTGACGATAGAATATACATTTGCAGAGACTAATATGTAGCTTTTGTTGAAAAAAAAAACAATTAATATCTTGTAATACTATAATAAAATTGGTAAATTGACTTACTTTTAATGAAACTGAAGATTACGAAGCTGTGAAGATTACGTCATCCTCTGCAGCGCTTGTTTTATATTGTTTATATTGTATACAGGGTACATACTGTATGTACACTTATTTTCAGGCATATTTTAATAGAGTATCCTTCTGTTTCTTGATGTCACTTACTGTACTTTTCCCGATGTTAAACTCTGCTGCTGCTCGTGCATGAGAATATCCTTTATCAAGTTTCTTAATTAACTCCAGCTTCTGTGCAACCATCAGGCGCTTCCTTTGGGTAACTTGGCATTTTGTAAATTAAAAAGAAGATCACAATTACAGTACAGTAATATCCTTCACAATTGAAGCTAGCCGCACGAGTTCACAGTAAACAATGGGAACACATGGCCCGGCGGAGTACATTCTAGGTCCGTGGGAAAAAAAATACCTAGTGCCTATACTTTAAAAGGTATTTAATAAGAAAACAAAGACTTTTGCTTAATAAAAACTGTTTCAAAATATTTTATTAATAATAATTTATAATTTTCTTCATTAAAGTGAATCATTTTAAAAGAAAATTAAGATGTAATATATGACTCTGGACGATCCAGGTCGGTGGCCTGGTCGCCATGTGAGGGGACGCTGATGCCACAACAAACCCAATACCGACCGTCGGTAATATCGACCGTCGGTAATATCGACCGTCGGTAATATCGACCGTCGGTAATATCGACCGTCGGTAATATCGACGGTCGGTAATATCGACCGCCAGGCCGGTATAGCAGGCTCCAGATACCGGTCTCCCAAACCGGTCGTTAATACCGGCAGATCGGTATAAAAGAGGCCGTTAAATTGAGTGGATACTGTAAAAAGTGTTGATAGAGTACAGTATTGTAAGTGTTAATGATTATTTAAGCCTCGACAAAAAGATACTGTACAGTGTAAATATACAGTAGAAATAATTTTCAATTGTGAATTAGAATTAGAACTCATGTGAATTAGTAGTAAGACAAGTGAATGCCTGAAAATAAGTGTACATACTGCATGTACCCTGTATACAGTCCTGAACAATATAAAACAAGTGCTGCAGAGGATGACGTAATCTTCACAGCTTCATAATCTTCACAGCGTCATTAAAAGTAAGTCAATTTACCACTTTTATTATAGTATTTCAACATATTATTTTTTTTTTTCAACAAAAGCTACATATTAATCTCTGCAAATGTATATTCTATCGTCAGCAGAGAAAAGGTGAGCTCAAAATATTTCATCTTGGCTAGCTCTCAGTGACAAGGCTCAATCGCCATTGTTATGGCATGGCCGCCACAGCCTGTGTCGTAACATTAAAAATACATTACCTGCACTGTTCAGGGTAAATCAAAACACATCTCTAAAATTTTATTGAGAAAATATTAACAATCACTGATTGATACATGAAATATTTTGCAATACAAAGGAATGAACCAATTTTTTCCCACCCATCTGGACTTGATCAGACCGTGTTCACACATCATCCATGCAGCAGCCACCAGCTGGCTTAATCGTCGGGGAGGCACTAAATTGCAATGCAGTTACACAATGAACTTTATTTAATTTTAGTTACACAGTATAAAATATATCCTACCTGAATGTAACTTGAAAAATTACCAGACCCAACTTAACTTCGGAAATAACGGATCTCCGGAAATAATGACCAGGGTACAGCCTCATATAGGCCGTTAAATTGAGTGGATACTGTTGATATGTAATAATGTTACAGTACTGTAGTGTACAGTACATATACAATGGAGCCTCGACTTACGATGCTAATCCGTTCTCAGAGACGGATAGCAAGTCGAAATATCGTAAGTCGAAGCGATTTTTCCCATAAGAAATATTGGGAATTGAATTACTCCGTTCCCCACCCTCCAAAATATTAACATATAAATACATTTTATACTGAATACAATGTTTTTTTCTAACTACAATACAGTACCTAAGTTTATCTTACCTTTATGGAGGGCTCTTGATGGCGTATGGAAGATGGTGATGACGGGGGAGGAGGAGAGTTGTTACTGTTTGGAAGGGGAGTCCCCTTCCATTATCACATCAGGCAGTGATGTTTTCTCTGGGATACTCTCTCTCCTACGTTTTGCCTGAATACCACTAGGACCTGGTTGTGGTTCAGTGCTTGTTTGTCTCACTACAAATTTGTCAAGAGACATTTCTTTTTCCCTTCATTTTAACATTTATCTGTAATGATGCATCACAGTGTCATTGAATAGGTTAAGGCAACGCCTTTTGCCACTTTAGCACCCATAATGTCCTTTTTCTTAGCCAGTATGGTGGATATCGTTGACTGAGATTTGTTGTACTGCCTAGCCAGTTCAACAACCCGCACACCATCTTCATATTTACGAATGATATCTTGTTTCTGCTCTTTGGTCATCCTTACATGAGATCTCATATGTTGAGCCTTACCACTGACTTTCCTGGGACTCATGGTACCTGGTTGATACCTGGTTGATGGGGTTCTGGGAGTTCTTCTACTCCCCAAGCCCGGCCCGAGGCCAGGCTCGACTTGTGAGAGTTTGGTCCACCAGGCTGTTGCTTGGAGCGGCCCGCAGACCCACATACCCACCACAGCCCGGTTGGTCCGGCATTCCTTGGAGGAATAAATCTAGTTTCCTCTTGAAAATGTCCACGGTTGTTCCGGCAATATTTCTTATGCTTGCTGGGAGGACGTTGAACAACCGCGGACCTCTGATGTTTATACAGTGTTCTCTGATTGTGCCTATGGCACCTCTGCTCTTCATTGCTTCTATTCTACATTTTCTTCCATGTCGTTCACTCCAGTACGTTGTTATTTTACTGTGTAGATTTGGTACTTGGCCCTCCAGTATCTTCCAGGTGTATATTATTTGATATCTCTCTCGTCTTCTTTCTAGTGAGTACATTTGGAGGGCTTTGAGACGATCCCAATAATTTAGGTGCTTTATTGCGTCTATGCGTGTGATATATAATAATTACTTTAATGTTCAAAATGCAAAAAATCACCACAAACGCGGAATTTCTTATAGGCGCGATCGTCACTAAGTGGGGCAGCTGTAGTAAACCAAGGCAGGTCGGACCGCGTGACCGGGAATCACGCGTTCGGTCGACCCGAACGTGTACCAACAAATATCGGAAGTCGACGACACCATTGGATGTCGAGTCTCATTTTTCGATGAAATTTACATTGTAACTCGAAATTATTGTAAGTCGGAGCAATCGTAAGTCGAGGTGCCACTGTGCTGTAATGTCAAAGCATATACAAAAAGAAAGTCCTAAGCCCATAAAACTGAACCGTACTGTATAGCACTGTGTTACAAAATATTGTAGAGTTCCTAGATATCATTCAGGATGCCAGTACTGAAGCAGAAACACAAGACGAATATCAAAGGAATCACATTCATTGAGATTTTATCGAAGGACAAAAGATGGAATGGTGGGATAGCAAAAGGATTAAACATGACCATACCATCTTATTAAATCTTCCCCTTATATTGTTTCAATCAGGAGTTTTGTTACACAAGCCACTTTCTTCTCTATCTCACTCTTCTTTCAACTTATTCTTTTGTTAATCATAAACGTGAAGTGGTAGCACATTTTAGCATTTCCCATTCACTCTGGTTTCACACACACAGTTTTTTCTTCTCTCTCCACCAATACTGTATTATTTTTGTCTGTTCACCTTAGTTACTTTCACTAAACAACAAAACATTATAAATTACAGGCATGATTTGTATAAAAAAAAAATTAAATACTGTCCTCCATTTATTCCTATCATTTATTCCTAGGCACCTGACTGCTGGGTGGGCAGCACTTTGGATTCGTAGTCCTGAGGTTCCGGGTTCGATCCCCGGTGGAGGCGGAGACAAATGGGCAAAATGTTTCTTTCACCCTGATACCCAATGTTACCTAGCAGTAAATAGGTACCTGGGAGTTAGACAGCTGCTACGGGCTGCTTCCTTGGGGGTGTGCAACAAAAAGGAGGCCTGGTCGAGGACCTGGCCTCGGGGAAGCGGGGACGCTAAGCCCTGAAATCATCTCAAGATAACCTCAAGATGAATCATACACTAAGTTCACATACTTTTCTAATATTTTGACCATTATCTCATGATCTAACACACATGCCGCAGTACTAAATTTTTTACTTTTTCTTCAGGTGAACATCGAACAGAGGAGTATGCTGCTATCAATCCATTTCAGTTAGTGCCAGCAATTGATGACAATGGATTCAAGTTGACAGAGAGGTGTGTACCTACTTACCTTGTGTCTACCTTGTGATGGTCATTGGAATCAACGTCACTGCAGCACGATCTCTGACTAACCTTCTTTGTTGGTAGTCTGGTCAACCAGGCTGATAGACACTGCTGCTTGCAGTCTGCTGTATAAATCGTAGGCAGGTTGATCACTTATCCCTTAGAAGTACTTATTCAGTTCTCTCTTGAACACCATGAGATTGGCTAGTTATGTCCCATGTGTTAGAGTATTTTTCTAACATCACTTATGTCTCATGTGTTAGAGTATTTTCTAACATCAGCACTTTCGTTACTTTCTTGTTTTGATGGGTTGCTTCAGGGTCTTAACCCCTTAACTGCGTTGGCTCCAAATGTGACACCCCCGCAGTGCGCAGGAAATAAATTCTCTGGAAAAAATTCTTTTTTCTTTTTTCTTTTTTAAAGTGTCAAAAACCCTTCCCTCAGTATGGGTATGTAAAAAAAAAGTCGAAATTGTACTTACTTTGGCTGCTATGGGGTCCGGAAGTTGGGGCGTGACGTCATCATTCCCCGTGCGCCCGTGCCGTAAGCTCTCTGGGGCGGTGGGGCGCTCGGGGCGGGGCGCGCGAGTTGCCGCGAATATATTTTCGTTCATTTTTTGCGCACCTTTCCAAATACATTTTCATTGTTTTTATGTGCCAATCCAATGTATAATGAACACGTACACTATAATATCGCAGTACAACATCCATACTGTCCGTAGACACTGTGTTACGTGCATGAAATTGTGTACACATATGCAGCACATATTTACTATGTATCATACTAATTTGTGTATATATATACAATCTATTTACACACTATACACTGTCACAGACTATATACATTCACCATCAAAACATTCAGAACACCGCGTAGCAGCTGCTTCGTATGGGCCAATAGCAGCTGCCTAGTATGGGCCAATAGCAGCTGCCTCGTATGGGCCAATAGCAGCTGCCTCGTATGGGCCAATAGCAGCTGCCGCGTATGGGCCAATAGCAGCTGCCGCGTATGGGCCAATAGCAGCTGCCGCGTATGGGCCAATAGCAGCTGCCGCGTATGGGCCAATAGCAGCTGCCACGTATGGGCCAATAGCAGCTGCCTCGTATGGGCCAATAGCAGCTGCCTCGTATGGGCCAATAGCAGCTGCCTCGTATGGGCCAATAGCAGCTGCCGCATATGGTCCAATAGCAGCTGCCTCGTATGGGCCAATAGCAGCTGCCTGGGCCAATAGCAAATGCTCCAATAGGAGCATTTGGCCATGAACACATTCAGAACACCTCGAGTGAGAGAAGCCACACCCAGCCAGTCTCCCTCACTCCAACATCTTACTCGCCAACATTGCTCCTCCCACCATATTGTTATAGTTCTTATTACACATGTTCTATATACCTATCTACATGTTTTATTTACCAGAACTATGCAAGTAAGCCGGTATTGTGTCCAAACAGTACAGTGGCCACCATACACTGCATGAAAAATCACACAGCAGACGACGCTAGGATTACGTCACCTCCCTCACCAAAAACGCTCCTCTCAACATTCTCCTGTTGCTGTTCTTACACTATATATACACACTATATATACCCATGTACATATGTGTTGCCCATAGCGAACCACTAAGCTAGTATGGTGAGCAAAACAAGAGTGGCAGCCACACACACACACAATGAGGCTACTTCAATTCTCGCCCTCCCTCCCTCATCAAAATTCCTCCTTCCACAATACTACGCACAACGCTAATTATAACCACAATCCTGCTATTATCACAATCCTGGTCACTAATTCCTGTAAATGAATAATTGACCACACGTTTATTTTGAAAAGGAACCTAAGAAATCATTTGAAGATTCCTAGATGAACGAAATAATGCTGTGGTGCTGTGGCTAGCGCTGTGAACATCGTGAACAGCATTGAATCACTGATATTTGAACATTGTACCCAGTCATTATCACACTCAGGCTCTAATATAACACTATCATAGCTAAATAATACAAGTTATATATATATTTTGACATTATTAGGCGATGCTGTGGTCACATGCTGAACAGCAGTGCTGTGCGCTCATGCTGCGAGCGCCAGCCTTGGTTGCTCACGCACTACTGAGGCTCCCACACCTGGGAATGTGGACCACGATTTTTTTTTAAAGATGACGTCTGTTTACAAGAGCCCTGAGGAAGCTGATGTGAACCCCATGTAGCCGCGGGAGTTTTGAATGGAACGTGAAAAATACAAATACCCGGAGGCGCGTTGCGCAAACCAGACGTGAGCCTGCAGGCGCGTTGCGCAGTTTAACCCTTAAAGTGCGCATCACGTCATATGACGTGCTGGACGTTGTTCCAGTAAACTGCGCATCACGTCATATGATGTGTTGGAGTACTACGCAAGATTTAAACAGCCTGCGGATACACGGGGTTCACCACACCTTCATCAGGGCTCTTGTAAACTGACGCCATTTTTTTTTTAAATCGTGGGCCAATCTCCCGGGTGTTATTGGCCTCAGTATTGAGTGAGCAACCAAGCCTGACGCACGCAGCATGAGCTAACAGCACTGCTGTTCAGCTTGTGACCACAGCATCACCTAAAAATGCCAAATTATACTTGTTCATGCTATTATGTAGCGATGATATTACTACAGAAGACCCCTGACTGTGATAAAACTGACCAGGGTTCTGATAATAGCAGGATTGTAGTGATATTTAGCGCTGTGCGCCATGGAAGGAGGTGTAATGCTGTGGGAGGGAGGGTGGTGCCAATGTCTTTTGACTGTGTGTGGCCACCTTTTATTGACTGCACTCACCATACCAGCTTAGTGGTTCGCTATGGTGAACACAAATGTAGATACTTATATATAACGTGTGTATAGAGGGTATAAACAGCAAGAGAAGGTTTGGAGTCGCCATTTTGGTGAGGGCGGTGGCGTCGTCTGCACGACGCCACCGTGCAGATGACGGTGTTGTTTACTGGTTACCACGATGGTCTTTGGGCACCATACCAGTTTATTTGTACAAGATGATGAATAAAACAGGTAGATATTTATATATAATGTGTGTATATAGCGTAATAACACCACACAGTATTGTTGGAGGAGAAATATTAGTGCGTCTGCCCTTGAGGGCGGCCGCCGATCAGCTGACTGTGTGAGTAGCCACATCTCTGTGCCTTTACTCACCATACAAGCTTAGATGTACAGTTAAGGTGAACAAAACATGTAGATACTTATATATAACGTCTGTATATAGTGAATTATAGCAAAAACATTATTGTGGGAGAAGAATGAGGGTGAGTCAGATGACTGGAGGGAGAGCGGGAGTGGCTGGCTGGTACACGGCGGTCACTCCTCATTACTTTTTGACTCATAATAGCTACTTAGTGGTTCGTTATAGTGAACAAAACATGCAAATACTTATATATAACCTGTGCTTATAGTGTAATAACCGACAAAGTATTTGTTCACTGATTGATGAACATAATTGAACCAACAATATGCACACCATATTTTTGAGTACAGCAATGATTCACTCATTTTATTGAATCTAGTCAAGCACTCGTTGATGTATAATCCCTTCCGTTGGGATGCAGCTGTCCGGACTAGATGGGATTTCGTGAACTGGGAAGACAGCTTCAGGCGGATTTTCCGCTGGTTTTGACCTGATGGATTCTTTTTGCCTACTCTGTAGGCAGCAATAACGTCAGATTTGTTTAGAATGAGCTGCAATTTGTTTTTTAAGAAATCCTGAGCTATTACGACACAATTTTCACCTTCATGTTCCACACCTTCATTTATTTATTATATAAATATATCAAACTACAAACTATTGAATAATATTACAGCAAAAAAAGTATGAAAAATCAATCAGAGACATTGAAATAATTCGGTAATTATCTCTTTGTGGCAACTCTGGCCTGACAGCTTGCGAGCAACAGACCGCCTGGGACGCACGCTGAGTCAGCGCCTATAATTTGCCAGACTTCCCCGCCTTATAGCGGGCAATATATGCCACTTACGATTTTTTTATTATTTTTCCCGTGATCAGTGAACACAAATTAACAGGTTAGAAAGAAAAAATATTTTTTTTTTTTTTTCAAAATGACATGCGCCTGTGGGGATGACAGGATATTAAACCCCGAGCATGTTAAGGGTTAAGGGTTAAAAGAACTTTAAATCAATAAACAGATAACTAGGCTGGTTGATCTAATTATGAAACTAGATTTCTATTTGTAATCTATTTGTAGTCTATTCACATTTTAGTTTAAAAATAATTAAAAGAAAATACAACTGGGAGAATAGTTATCCTCCTCTGTATTTGATATCAGGATGAATACAAGTTACTGCACTTTGCCTTTGAGCCACTGGTCGCCTTCCAAATTGCCTTGGGTTTCTACCTTGCTTCCTACACTTGCTCTTAACATTGTTTATGGAGGTGGCTTCATCCAACTTCCCTTCTAGCCCACATCATTTACTGCTCTTAACCCTTAAACTGCGCAACATGCCTGCAGGCTCACGTCTGGTTTGTGCAACGCGCCTCCGGGTATTTGTATTTTTCACGTTCCATTCAAAACTCCCGCGGCTACATGGGGTTCACATCAGCTTCCTCAGGGCTCTTGTAAACAGACGCCATCTTTAAAAAAAATCGTGGTCCACATTCCCGGGTGTGGGAGCCTCAGTAGTGTGTGAGCAACCAAGGCTGGCGCTCGCAGCATGAGCGCACAGCACTGCTGTTCAGCGTGTGACCACAGCATCGCCTAATAATGTCAAAATATATATATAACTTGTATTATTTAGCTATGATAGTGTTATATTAGAGCCTGAGTGTGATAATGACTGGGTACAATGTTCAAATATCAGTGATTCAATGCTGTTCACGATGTTCACAGCGCTAGCCACAGCACCACAGCATTATTTCGTTCATCTAGGAATCTTCAAATGATTTCTTAGGTTCCTTTTCAAAATAAACGTGTGGTCAATTATTCATTTACAGGAATTAGTGACC